GTGACTTAAAGCCCTTGCACTTTCTCTGTGTGCAGCAGGGATTATTGCCACCAAGAGAAATCTTCAACTTCCCATTCAGGGTAGCAGTATGAAGATGCTGTGGCTCAAGTCAGAAACCCTGCCCTGTGTGATCTTCCAAACATAATTGGCAGGAATATGCCTGTAGTAGAAAAAAATTATATGACTATTTATACGTGAGGATAAACATAATCTGGATAACATTTTCCCAAGGGACTTTTTTCTGCTTTAGATACATGGCACTGAAGAAACTGATTAATTGGTTATCATATCTTCAGCTGAAGAAAACTATGTCTATCTATCTCTATATACAAACGTAGAGGAATAGAGGAATGGGAGAAATTCATATATTCGTACAGAGAGAGAGAGAGAAATGAGGTCTAAATATATTAAGGATGACTTATTATGCTTTTCAATGTAATAAGATTATGTTTTCCAGGGAAATTTTCTATTTCTTCAAAAATTGAAAATTATCTAGGTATTATTTTCTAGACATATGTAATAGTTATATATACCTTAGAATGGGCAGCAGGACTGTAAGGTCTCTGGTGAAAGGCTAAGTAATCCAAAATCTTCTAATTAGGGTGCCAAATGTTAAGTACTTAAGTAAGTATGTTGTCTGACAAAGATACTGCCAGGTTGCGTTATCATTCATTTCTAGAAAAATCCAAAAGTATATTAGTCCTCCAAACAGCAATCTGGCAGTCTGACAAGCTTTCTTGCTGTAGTAGACAATATCGGATAAACAAGGACCAGAGCTCAGGAAAAGAGGATAAAGTAATAATGAAAAGATTAACAAATTGCCAAGTGAGGGCTAATGAATGACACTGGCCATTTTGTACTAAAATTATGTCTTAGTTTGACAGCTTCATGCAGGCATCACACCAGGAGTGAAAAATCACCTCAGGCACAGAGATAATCTGAAAATAACAGAGAGTATTTAAGCTGGTCCCAGCTGAAGAGCAGATAAGCCAACAAATAGTGTCAAAAAAACCAAATGTGGATAAAACCAGGGCTGGTAGGGCAAGAGTCTGTCATGAAAGGTGTGACTAAAGCAAAGTTCTGTCAAGTCCATGTTCCACAGAGGACTTAAATGCATTTTACATTTTGGATATACGTGTTATAACAACTGATACTAGGTCCTAAATTGCACATCTTTGGGTTTGCATTAATTTGTATTTGCTCAGAGTTCTTTTCTTATTCAAAATCTCAGGCGGCCTGCTGTTATATGATTCCAACATCACTTACATAAACTAGGCAATACCAGCAAGATGCTTCTCTGGAACATCCCACCACTTAGTCTTGTTTTCATTAATACTTTATTTACAATTGCTCATATTATGGAATCATAGAATCATTAAGGTTGGCAAAGACCTTTAAGATCATCAATCCCCTCATCCAGATCATTGATGATATTAAACAAGATTGGCCCCAAAACTGAGCCCTGGGGAACACCGCTTATGACTGGCCACCAACTGGATTTAATGCCATTCACCACAACTCTCTGGGCTCAGCCATCCAGCCAGATTTTTACCCAGTAAGGAGTAAACCTGTCTAAGCTGCGAGCTGCCAGTTTCTCTAGGAGAATGCTGTGGGAAACAGGATTACAAAAATTACTTCAAGGCTAGAAGAGATATTCAATACATTGCAGAATTATTGGCCTGCCTTCTCATGGCATTTCCTAACATATTTCTTATTCTCACTCTTACCTTGAAAAAAAAAAAAAACCATCAGTATTTCCCACTTTCCCAAATCCCAACCAAGCAAGGTAAGAAATAAGCAAAAGACCTCTCTGCAGTATTAACACATAAAGATTCTCTGAAATAGTGCAATTTACTCCACAATGCAACAGTGTCTGCTGCACCAGCAGGCTTCCAGATTAGAAAGCAACATGTAATTTAAAAGAATTTATGCATCCTTGAGCAATTCTTCAGACTGGTCAACTCCAGGCTGCCTGACAAGTTATAGTTGACATTAAAGTTTTTACTTCCTCTGATTTAACTTCTCCATTAGTAGAAACCTTAAAGCCCATATAAAGTATATAAGGTCTCTTATTTCCTTGAGCTTTCAGTAAAATGTTTCCAATGCTACAAGGCATGAGAAATAAGATCTACCAGAACAGTTTTGTGGACTTTGTCTATAAGTATCAGGAGCTGATACAGTGTTTCCCATGCATAGCTGGAGTGTTTTGGATTTTTTCACATATCCATTAGGAAAGAAAGTCTTTGCATAAATGAAGGTACAACAACATTTGTGAGAGTTGAACAAAATCTAGAACAATTACATCACTTTTTAACTTTTTGGAACATGTTAGCAGAGATATGCTATTTCTAAATATAACTGGTTAAGAAGCCCACTATTAAAAAAAAAAAAAAGAAAAGAAAAGAAAAAAAAATCAAGGGGAATTGTGTTCCATTAGATAAAAAACACTTCCACCTGGATTGTCTCCAGTTTGAGTAGCAAATGCTCTGTGAAAGGACACTGGTTTTGCTCTATGGAAATGGATTGTCGTCTGAAGTGCGTCTTTGAGACGACAGAGAATTCCAAGTAATGTTTCATTGCTGCTGAATGGACCAAGACCTTTACAACTTATTTAACATTTTAAAAGCTCTTATGCATTACATTTAGAACTAAAAATATTTTTATTTTAAAATAATGCATAAAATACTGTAGAACTGTTATTGTAACAGCTTACTGTATAAAAAACACTCCTTACTTTAAGGGAAAAATCCAAACAAGTCTCCATGGAGAACAGATGATCACCACCCTGCTTTCTAGAAAAAAACATGATAAAACAGTGTATGTGGAAATGGTCTATGAAATGGAAGGACTGAGGCTACTCTCTCTCTCGATACACATATGTGTATATTCATGTGTTATCCACACCACCATTTGGCTTGGATTGCACACGTTGTTATTGAACAAGGACAATCCATCAAGCCTTTGCAGTATGCCTTAGTCTAGGTCATCTTGATTTATCTGTTTGTTTTCTCAGCACGAGTGCTGACTTTTGGATTTGCCTTGAATACTTGTAAGAAAGCATTAGCTTGTGTACTAGGTTCTGATATTTTCTGTTCTTTTGAATAATAAAAAAAAAATACTACAAGGCAAGAGTGCTAGAACTACCAAAACAGTTGGGCAAAAAGACCTGTCCAAATACAGGACAAAGATGATAGAGAAAGTAGTTACCTAGGATCCAATATATCTGTTCGGCTACTCCAAAAGAGTTTATAGCAGTTGCAGCTTCAGTAACAGAAAGAAAATATCTGATTTTTTTAAATTTCAATTCTGAGATAATATTTTGTACCTTCTTATGTTCTCATATATGTTTGGGTTTATATTTCACCTCTTCTGGTAACTTTTGTCTCATTAAAGTAATATAGCAACACTGAGCATGAAAAAAGCCTTCTCATTAAAACTGCTTGCATGGAAGTAATTCAGCTACCACTTAAAGTAATCTCTACCATAGTATAGCCAGAAAATATCCAATACCAATACCAATTCTATTAACAGCCTATATGAAGGTGAATTAATAAAATAGTTAATTCCCCAAATTGACAAAATAATCGCTTCTCAGGAAGTTAATACAGGATCCAGAGAGGTGAAGAATGAGTCATACTGTAATTTTATGGTTTCAGTTTTACAATGTTCCTGATCAGCGGTGGTTTTGTGTTTCGGGGGTTTTTTTGGTATGTGAAGAACATACACATATAATACAAACTTATCTGTGAATTCAGGGGATAAGACGACTGTAGTTACTAAAATTGGTTGCTCACATTTAGCCATATCTCCTTGTAAGCCACACATACATAATTTGTTTTTTAAGTTTTTAGTTTAATTATAACATAGTATAATTAAATTAAAACCAGTTAATCCCTGGGATATGGACATTCACACTGAAAAAAATAATATAACAAATTATCTCTGAAGTTTCTTCTGTGACCAGGTTCAAAGGGATTGTTCTGGGAGAAATTAAAATTTTAATTATGCCTGAAAACAGAGAACTCAATGTTAACTAAAGGTACTGATCTAAGCAGAATACACATTAGCCACAGAGTATCTTTGATAACACTGGAAAACTATCTCACTCTAAATTTGCAAATCCTATTCTGTTTCAGCCTGAGACTTCTCTGGACTGCATTTCACTGAAATGCAATGAAGTCTTGTAGCCTGGGATTCTGTAGTTCTTTTGCAATCAAGATTTCCCAGGAGTGCTGCAATCTCAAGTAAAGATGAAAACTAGGGTTTTTCAGTTTAGAAATAATACATCAAAACCTGAAGCTTTGCTGTATTCCTGAATCCAGATGGAGTTTACTTAATAGTTTGAGAGGGGGAAAAAAACTGGAAAGAGCATCACATTGAACTACTGAATGGGAATGATGTGTTATACAGCCTGGCTTTTTGGGGCACTTACGAGATATGGGTTCAAATCCTTTTAGAGGAGATAATACAACAGAAGATCTGCAGGCAAATAAAAAATTAATTATTGACACAGCATAGCCCTGAAGAATAGTTGAGAACATGAATAATTTAGAAAGTACATCTGAAAGCATGTCTTGTTTGAGAGCAGAGCTAAGAGCACGCTAACAGGGACAGCATGGTGACTGGAGGTTTGCTGGACCACCACCACTCAGTGGTTGTAAGAGGACTATACCAGGCATTTGCAAGTTGTGATGAATGACTTGGGTAGAAAGAAGCCTGCTGTGCTATGCAAGGGAGGTTACCCTTGAAATCTTAAAGTACAAGTTACCTAAGTGAACCTGCAAGACTGTTTATTTTCATAGCGTGGAAAATCCACCAGTTCTTGAGATATGCCGATGTTGGAGAAGAGGTATGCATGTATTTGCCATTAGTATATCTGGTGAACCAGTTTAATATATATACACCCTAGACACAAAATAGGAAAACTCTAGCTATTATATAGAAATGCTATGCTGAATTTTTAACATATTATTCTGTCTTGGTATGTTTTTATTTTACAGGAGACTATGTAGTCATGTCTGTTTACTTTAACCTGAGCAGGAGAATGGGTTATTTCACTATTCAGACCTACATTCCCTGCACACTTATTGTTGTGTTGTCCTGGGTCTCTTTCTGGATTAATAAGGATGCAGTTCCAGCCAGAACATCATTGGGTGAGTTTTTTCCTCCTGCTTTTATTCAAGTGTTATGATGTTTAATTGATAGCTCCGCAGATCACCTGTTCATAAATCTCCTTGTTTTGAGGGATGTAGTCATTTCCAAGGAATAATACAGCCTAAATCATGTTTGCATCTCTTCTTTTTTATTATGTCAGATCCTAACTCTGAGTATTGTAGATTGCATACAATAAAAACTTTTGCATCTTTTCTGACAACAGCAGTGTTTTTTATAAACATCAAGAGGATGGGGAACATTGCTGGATTAGAAGCAGGGATGCATTAGTTTTATTTGCTCTACTTCCATATCATGGTGAACTGAAATACAAATGAAATAAATACCAAGAAGGAATCAATCTTTCTGACTGACTGTGTGCCTTAGTGGTAAAAAGGGGAGAATGTAGTACCCTGACTTCTGCTGTAGGGACCAACAATCGAATGTAGCCTTCAAGCTACAACTGAATTTGATAGTGTCTAAAATCCTATATATGGAAATGTGACATGCAATTGCTCAGAACTGGCAATCTCTACACACTTAGTTCCACAAATAAACTAAAAGAGAGACCAAATTAACCATGCTTGTGCAAAGCAGCTGTAGCTGTGAGAATTAGCAAAACAGAAACGTTCAACTAGAAAAAGTTAAACACATTTTCTGCTTCTGCATTAAATCTGCACAAGTGAGAATCATTTTAGTTTTTCCTTCTGCATTTTCATTTAATCACAGAACTACAGCACAGAACACTGGACAGCAAAATGAGGGACAGCATTTTCATTCCAGAACTACCTTTAAGGAAACACAGGAATAGTGGACCAGTGGCTCCCATGATAGAAAGTTTAAGCATTTTATCTGTTGAGAATTAGTCTATTTATACCACTGAGAAGGTAAAATCAGTGGTATGAAATTTGCCATATGAAATGTGATGGATTTTAACTGTTCTGATGCATTTTTAATGTTCTTCACATCATAGTACAGGGAATAAAGTACTGAAAAGAGAAGGGATGGTAAGGCACATCACAGTACTCCTCACTTGTATAAGTGACTACAGTCACTCATGCAGGCCAGAAGAGATAGAATCATAGAATCGCTTTGGTTGGAAAAGACCTTTAAGATCACCGAGTCCAACCCTTAACCTAACCCTGCCATCCCACCACTAAACCATGTCCCTAAGATACTGCTCTGGCACAGAGAGAAATCTGTTACAATTATAAGGAGCCCTGAGAGACACTCCCTTCCAACTTTATATGTAAGAAATCACTTAAATAACAAGTAGCAGATAATTCATGTGGCACTAGCACCTTTTGCAGACAACTAGAATGCATTTAGGCAAGAGAAATGAAATAGTGTTATTTCCTTATGTAGCGCACACAGAAATCTACACACGTTTCATCCTGAAGTTCCTGCTGGATTACATGCTTTCTTAAGAATTTTCATTAACTTCTACCTCATATAATGGCTGCAAGTGTCTCTTACTGACATGGGTATTATTACCCTGCAACTAAAAATAAGCAAAACATCCCAAAAGCACAAAAAGTTTGAGATTCATCTTGAGGTTACATTGAAGAATGGAGTTAAGCAATTTTTATTCTCCACCATGATTTTCTCACTCTGACACAAGTCCTCTTCTCTCTAGCTCTGTTTAAGGGTTTGAGGACACAAACCCTAAACCTAAATTTCTCAATTATAAATAAGTAAAGGCCGCCTAGAAGTAAACTACAAAACTAAGAAACTAAAATAAATTTCTTAGAATCAGAATCCATTTAACCGAAGTATTCTGCAGAGCAGCACTTGCAGTGACCATGCAAAAATGTTTCATACCCCATGTTAATCCTGGAAGCTCTCACTGAATCCACATTTCACCACTGGGATGTGTTGTTTAATATCTTTGCTATATGTTTAAACTCCATGCATACTTCAAAACCAGTGAGAGAGAGAGAACTGGCAAAATCAGTTTGTTACTTGAAGCAACAATATTTCTGATGCTTTCTATCTATCTACCAGGTATTACAACTGTCCTGACAATGACCACCCTAAGTACAATTGCTCGTAAATCTCTTCCCAAAGTCTCCTATGTGACAGCAATGGATCTTTTTGTGTCAGTCTGCTTTATTTTTGTTTTCTCTGCACTGGTGGAATACGGAACTTTGCACTACTTTGTCAGCAACAGAAAGCCAAGCAAGGATAAAGACAAAAAGAAGAAAAATCCAGTATGTATCTTTTTACCAGCAAGGTCTAAAATTCAATTAGGTTTTCTGAGAGAGCATTTAAATCCCTCTTTATGCTTGTACATTCTTCACAGACTTTGCTATTACATATATACTCTTCCTTTGTATTAATAGGAATAAAAACATTCACCCTGAGAATTAAAATCTCATATATTATGGTTGTCTGGATGCTAGAGAAACTAATTTCTTAGAATAAGGATCCTTTTAACCAATGTGTTCTGCAGATCATATCTATCACCAAGACCATTATTTGTGTTATAGATAGAGCTCTTGCTGTGACCTTTATGGAAAAACTGTCAGGTCCTCTGTCTTAGCTTTAGCAATATTCTCTGCCATTAACTTATTATTGTCCATATTATTGACATGACTCTGCTTTTTTTATTATCAGGACTACAGTTAAACTTTTATATTCAAACTACAGAGTGTGCTTTTTTCTAATTTCCCCTTAAGCATCTGTTTCCTTTTCATTGTTTCCTTACCTTCTTTTTCTTGTATTTCTTCCCTCCTTTATCTACTTTTCTCCCTTAGAAAGTGATTTGGCTAGCAGTATACAATGTTACTTATGGATGCATGCTACACAATAATAAAAAAATGTATATAACAGCCACAATAAAAAAAAAAAATCCTGTAAACACCCTCAGTAAGGGTTTGGGGTTTTGCCTAGACAGGGAAAAAGTTTGTTGCTTATTTTGTCCATGACAGATTTCTCCTTGCATTTTGCAACCTAGCTGAAAAGTCTGTTCTCTAGAATCTCTGAGGTGAAAAGAATTAGTGTAAAATCCTAGAGGGAGAAGTAGCCTAATTGTCTAAAAAAAAAAAAAAAAAAAAAAAAAACCCACAACAAAAAAACAACAAAATATGCCTGTGAAAAATGTGAAGAACGAGTGTTTTACATTAATAAAGTGTATTTTCAAATCCATTTCAGGCATCTAGGAAACAATGAAGTCACTCTGATTTGCTCTGCTAAAATCTTCAAGGACTTTTACAGATATCCTCTTTTAGTTATAACATACAGCACAATAAGAATATAGAAAAATGTAATTAATGAACCTTCTGTTACACATTATTGCTATAACTTCAACTTTAAAAGCTGCTGAGAAGTGGAATAAAAAAAAAAAAAGACTTGTACTCTGTAGTGGGTAAACATCCAGAAAAACATCTATAAGACTACAGAGGAAGAATTCTCACCTAACTTTAGGTATGCTACAGTTGGATTTGATCTTAGGCCTCTCTTGGTCAAAAGAAAGAAAGAGGCTCTTCCAGAGGACGATACATCTGGCCTGTCTCAGGCTGAAATAAAAGGTTGTCTGTGTACATGTGTGGCTTTCATAGCCAATTAAAGAAGCAAAGCTTAACTATCTCAAAAGTAGTTGTCTCACTTAAAGATGCCTGTATAAGGGCAGATTACTTGTTCTTTACATTAATTATCTGTGAGCATTTGGGGACAAACAGAACTATAAATGACTGCCTGGATCCCAAACACAGAGTCTAATAAAAGTAGAATGTTCAGGACCCAGTCTGCAGGTAAAAAGAATTTTTTCTAAAAAGTGTTTTTATAAACTGTGAATGGTCTCATTTAAAACAGTTCAACATAAAAGATTGGAATCCCCTGGGAATATGAAAAGATCTAAATGGAGTTTGATATCTTATGTCTTTGGCCCAGATGTAGTTACAAGACAGTGACAAGTCAAAAATGTGGGGGGGTTATATTACAGATACTTGTTTAAATTGCTATTATCCCAACCTTTCTATAAATTTAGTTCTTTTTGGCTTACCATGTTTTAGAAACGTATTTTTAATTTACATTATTTTTGTCTCTTTCTTTCTTTCCTTTCTTTCTTTAATTTAAAACAAAACCCTCTGATTCTCTTTTCTGTCTACAAAATGAAAGCTTCTTCGGATGTTTTCCTTCAAGGTATAATGTTTTTTGGAATGGAAATTCACTGCATGCGACTGCTGAATTTAACTATTAGAGCTTAAATGAGAGTGGTATTTTGTTGGGTTGTTTTTTTTTTTTAATGAGACATCTAAGCATTCTACTCAAGGTAACTTCCTAATTAAGTAGAATGGTTACATATTTCTAAACAATTTGTAGAGTTGATTCAGCAGCCTGAATACTGATTCACTATAGTTCTGAACTGACTTAAGTTCAATAGTGACCAACATTATTGGATCGCATGAATTAAGAGAGTTTAATGTTCAAACATTTCTGCTCCTCTCTTTCTCAGTTTGCCATGGGATCCAATAGCACCAGCTACACCAGAAACCTGCATTACACCCTTTTAGAACTCAACTCTGGCCCTGCCTTTTTAACTTTTGTGATTTCACTCTAAATTATAAAACCAAATCTGTCCTGGTGTTGACCTGAACAAAATTCAGTGGTCATCAATTACTCAAATGCTGTTCCTTATGCAAAAAGCCAGAGTTTTGAAAGGGTTTAAGATGCATATATATTTTTAATGCTGTCACTGGATCAACACAGTCTCAGCAAATCAGCAAATATATCTAGTGATATTCCACTTCTAAACCTTATCTTCATTCAGAAATGCAGAGATTTCATAAAAAAAAAAAAAAGCGGGGGAAAAAAGAAACCACATAAAAGACAAGAAAATGACATACTTATGGAATGGAATTGTTGTTATTTTACTGTCATCCTAGTGTTCGCCAAGTGCTCAAATGTGTTTTAAATGTGTAATTGGGTCAATTCATTCCAAATATATATGTGTATATGTACAGCTACTATAAGAAATATGGAACATGGTGAACCTTCTTGTTGGTGAACATTAGTAGATGGTGAACTGCATATATTAGTTGGAGAAGTCTTAAAGATTCTCCTAACCTTATTCAAAAGACCCAGTTTTTGCCTTTTTTTCCTGTATATATATTTGCTCCTGTCTCAACATGAATCAGCCCTATATTAAAATCCAAAATGCATTTCCAATTGTTTATTTCAGTTCCTTTCATGTGCAATACATGAATTGCCTTCAGATATCAAGCAGCTACATAAAATACAACACAAAAGAAATTCAAAATACCATCAATTACATTCCTGAATGTTTCCTTTAACCTCTAATGTTTACTTAGTTTGGCTTTAAAGCTAATTGTCTACAGTTGTTAACCTTATAGTGATTTGAGCTGCTTTCCTGTAAAGTTAGTGTATTATGCAACTGATTTTAATAAGTTCAAGGTAATGTTACCATTAGAACGCCTCAGCAACTTCCCATGTACCCCACACAGAACCATCATTCACATGCTGACCCTTAGTCTCTATGTCCCTGTTGGTTTAGTGATAATAACAGAGTCTCCCCCTCCCGCTATCTTTTTGTTTTTTACCACTCCACCTTAGGCACCTACAATTGACATCCGGCCTCGATCAGCTACTATTCAAATGAACAATGCTACACACCTCCAAGAAAGGGATGAAGAATATGGGTATGAGTGTCTTGATGGCAAGGACTGTGCCAGTTTTTTTTGCTGCTTTGAGGATTGTCGAACGGGGGCATGGAGACATGGAAGAATACATATCCGCATTGCCAAAATGGACTCCTATGCCCGCATCTTCTTCCCAACTGCCTTCTGTTTGTTTAACCTGGTGTATTGGGTATCATATCTTTACCTTTAAAAGCAGAAGGAAACCAGTGGTATGAGCCTTACTCATTGAATTTCTTAGAGAGATGGTTTCCTAAGTCCACTTGAAGTATTTACGATGCGCTTTATAGTGGTCTGAATTCTTTAGTGCCATAACCCAGCAATTATCAATCATATCATTTGTCCAAAAATTGCCATCAGGTTATTGTGAATTAAATGTCTGTTCAACATGCCAAAATAATTTGAAATAAAAATCATATAAACAGGTAATATACAGCTGTACCTGCTGGAATAGAGAGAAACAGAGCAGACAGGGCAAGGGCAACATCACTTAATAGTTGGTACTGCTATTTCAAACATGAGCAAGAGAGAGGAAAATTCCCAGGTAAAGTGCTGTACAGTTTGTTAACACTGGCTATAATTATGCTATAGCTTTATTCTCTGTGGGCTTTTCTTTTTGGAAGAGTCATCTCTCACTTTGAATAGGTATTATTAAGCTAGGAAAGTAACTTCTACTTCCACCAAGATAAAAATAGACCTTTCCCTTTGCCATCCCTTTAAGAGCACATGTACAATGCTGTAAATATTTCAATACCTTGTAGTACATAAAGTCTAGTGCATGCATCTTTTGGGGGCCAAAATAAATGAAACAAAGGTACCATAATTTTTTGTCTTTTATTTTGTGTCTCTGGATGTGCTATTGTAATTGAAATGTGGACAATTGGTTTGGTTTTTTTTTCCTTGAAAAATTACCCCCTTTCCCTCATGCATGGAAGATCCAAGCAGACAGCACTTTCATGTAAGACATTAGAGAAGCCTTAAGGATTCAAATAAATAACATGTAGACAAATCTGTATGGCCAATATAATAGCTCATAAAGTATACTGTATGTGTCTGCTGCAGTTGTAGCCTTCATTTTCCATTGATAATGTTGCTATATTTCAACTGAATTTCCAGTAATTATACATTGCAAGATCAGCTTCCGAATTTAATCCATGTGCTTCTATTGTTCTTTTCCCATGATGAGCTCTACTTTTTTCCTTACACAAGTGTTTGTGGGGGTTTTTTTAATTCTTTAATCCGGTCCAGGAAATAGCTTTTATTGTAGCCATTATTTTTACATAAGAGCTTCAAGTTCATTTTGAAACATTAGATTTTGTATTATATATACACATACAATTCTCTGCCCATTCATGTCCTTGATCAGCAATAGTTGTTGTCAGTGCTGCTTTTCACTCAGTGAGTACCTTTACTAAAACAAACCTTTACCATGGCTAGCACACAGCATATAGATAACCTTGAAAATAAAAGGGAACAAAGGGTGTCTTGGCTACTAAATCACATGTATGCAGTTTATGTGTATTTAAAAAGTTCAACCCACCTGGGTGAATCTTGAAAACCATTTATCCACTGGTTTTCAGAACCTGTATGATGCTCAATTATGCAACCTTAAGCACATGTAAATATGATTGACCTTTTTTTTTTTTTAATTGTCAAAGATGTAAAATGTCACCTCCAGGAATGTGGGCTTGCAGATTAAAAAGGGAGATATATAACTTATCATTACAGAATTATTAATAGCTAAAACAGAGGAAAAGGAAAGTTTTCCAATGTTTGTATAGTTTTGGAAATAAAAATGTATAAAAAAGGAATAACTCTTGATCATCAATTGCTCCTTGTCCAATGTATTTGAAAACATTTTAATAAAGGAATTGCACACACCTGTGGACTTTTTCCAATAAAACTGCTGCACTTAATTCCAGTTTTCTTCTGATTAGTTTGTTAAAAGCATGCTTCAAGGACTAGACTGCTTGACTAGTTTGATTCATCAGCTGCCTAAATATGAGAGCTTATAATCCTCATAACCCTCTGCATTGTCCTATTTTGTAGTCAAATGGCTTACCCATGTAACTTTCAATGATGAAGACTAAATCTTTAAAACCATTTTTAAAATTAATTTATTCTTAAAAAACAAAAAAACAAAAAAACCAACCAAAACCAAAAACCCCCACCAACAAACCCAAACCACTGAATTGGAAGTATCCTAACGAAGAGAGAAAATCTTTCTTTTTCTACTTAGAGAGTGTCTCCAATTCCTGACTGAGTGTCAATCATCTTTCACACAGAAATGTGTTTCATCTGGTGCTAGACGGATCACTAATTTTTATTTTGCAATGGTCAAGTGATAAAACAGCTTTCTGTTAATAAAACTGGCTGATGTTATACATTTAAAGTTTCACTTTTTACCTGGATCTATTCTCTGCTACCAAATAGGTCTTGTACAGATCATTGTATGCAGATGACAACAAGTTGGGCAGGAGTGTTGATCTGCTTGAGGGTAGGAAGGCTCTGCAGAGGGATGTGGACAAGCTGGATCGATGGGCCAAGGCCAACTGTATGAGGTTTAACAAGGCTTAGTGCTGGGTCCTGCAGTTGGGTCACAACAACCCCATACAGTGCTACAGGCTTGGGGAAGAGTGGCTGGAAAGCTGCCCAGCAGAAAAGGACCTGGGGGTACTGGTTGACAACTAGCTGAATATGAGCCAGAAGCATGCCCAGGTGGCCAAGGCGGCCAATGGCATCCTGGCTTGTATTAGCAATAGTCTGGCCAGCAGGAGTAGGGAAGTGATTGTGCCCCTGTACTCAGCACTGGTGAGGCTGCACCTCGAATACTGTGTTCAGTTTTGGGCCCCTCACTACAAGACAGATACTGAGGTGCTGGACCGTGTCCAGAGAAGGGCCACAAAGCTGGTGAGAGGTCTGGAGCACAAGTTCTAGGAGGAGCAGCTGAGAGAACTGGGGTTGTTTAGCCTGGAGAAAAGGAGGCTCCGGGGAGACCTTATCGCCCTCTACAACTGCCTGACAGGAAGGTGTAGCCAGGTGGGTGTCAGTCTCCTCCTAAGTTACAAGCAATAAGACAAGAGGAAATGGCCTCAAGTTGCACCAGGAGAGTTTTAGATTAGAGATTTAGGAAAAGATTCTTCATTGAAAGCACTGGAACAGGCTGCCCAGGGAAGTGGTTGAGTCCCCGCCCCTGGAGGTATTTAAAAGATGGGTGGATGTGGTGCTTAGGAACACGGTTTAGTGGTAGACTTTGTAGTGCTAGGTTTACAGTTGGACACTACGATCTTAAAAGTCTTTTTCAGCCTAAACAATTCTGTGGTTCTCTGATTATGAATTTTAGCCCAAAACAGCCCTTTAACTTCCTTAGTCCAAGTGCTTTTCAGTTAACAGATTTAGATTTTTTTTTTGTTTCCCCCAAGGTCTGTGACATTAAGGATTCAGTGACACTAAGTACTTTAACCTAGTTCAGCCATCAGATTACACATGCATACAGAAAGCCTGAGACACTGAAGAAGTGGATGCAATTATGAGAAACAAACAATCAGATCCCCCACTTGTGCAAGTTGGCCTTCTCTTTCCAGCTAGGGAGGATTTAGTTAAAGATTGATATACCCCCATCTCAGTAATGCAAACCAAACAAAATGGAATCACACCTGCAGTTAGGGAGTTGCATGAACTTTTCTCACTGTATATCACTCACAAAGTAAAGGAAATAAGCCCTTAATCAGTTATTACCCAACATCTTGGCTCCTCACCTATTTAGGTGATTTGTCATTTTGTCCTGGAGAAAGCGGATGAGATTCAAAAGGACAGTTCATGCAGAAACATGTAATTCCCAGTGAGAAAATGACACCAAAGCACAATCTATTGCTAACTAAACAAAAAGTATACAGTTCCTCTGAATAGAGATTGTATTAGCTATTCAGCACAGACTCAAAAGATGACCTTTGTATTGTCAAGCCAGAATGCCACCACAGCAAACAAAATAGCAAACAAAATAACATTTGGGTATGATGAGGGTTATTATTCAGAAGAAAACTACTCAGAAACCTATCTGTATAGACATATACACACATACATGTTATATAAAATATTATATTAATATATACATTATACATATTCACTCTCACAGTTGCATTATAGGGAAGAAACTCACTCCTGATGCAACAGACTTGATAAAATGTTTTCAAGCTCATCACATTGCAGATAGCTATTACTGCCCTGGGATATGTCTGAGGATGTTCAGACGGTCATTAAGAGTTTTGTCAAGTATACACTAGTGGCAAAATTATTTACTTGCTATTTATATTCCAAGTGTATGTAGATGTCCTAACTGAGACAAGGCATTGTTGGCCCAAGGATTGTGTTATATATACATATCAAAAGAGAACACCCTCAAAGCACTTATAAATCTTTATACATTTACAACATTTACAAACCCCAGTTTGTAAATGAAGGGCTGGTATTCAGAGAGATAATGTGACTCAACAATAGTTCTCCTCTTTTCAGTGTTAGGCAACCACAAGAGACTATATTTTAACCAGGCAATATTGAAAAATTTTAGCCTCTGTGCAATGCGAAATGCTAAAGCTCCTAAAGGTGCAGTTCCCAGCACAGATTATATACACATAGACAAAAAAGGTAAAAGGCAAAAAGTGGCCTTTTTTTAAAATCTACTAATTTCTACCTCATTTCCTCATTTTCCCACAGTCACATACATCTATCTACCATGAATGGACTGGTCAAATACACTATGCGTATCAGTTTCCGTGAAACAGGTACAGCAGCAAATATTAGCATATGTGGGAGGTCCAGATATTTGGACCTCCTTCCTCCTGTGTTCCTAAAGCCCTTCAGTCTAAAAACACTGGTAGAAATAGGAAAAATAATAGTTATAAAATACTCAAGCAAATGAATAATGTGAGAAATTGAAAAAGAAAGCTTTGTTAACTGCACAGATTTTATTAGATAGCATTACTTTATATGGAACAAAAAAAAGAATTGGGAAAAATATAATTTTAGATTATCTGCCTTACCACAAAATCTGGGTTTTGTAAGATCATGGTAGAGATGAGGTGAAAACAGGGATTTGAAAGAGGATAAGCAAGGTTTTTTTCAGGTTTGCTGAAGTGTTTCTCATACTACAGAGGAAAGGCAGGACTAAGTAAGAAAGTCTCTGTGGGAGAAGCT